CCGGTCGGCGCCGTCTGCGGTGTTCGCACAGGACCCGCCGAGCGCACTTCCCAGAACGCACTGTCGCCAAGCGGTGCATGGCGGTGGTCCTCGGTTTATGAACTCAGCACGCCTCCCCATGTATTCGTCTCCTTTGATTTCTTTCATCAGCATCTTGTAGTTTTATAATTTTTGCTTTGAATCGTCACCCATGCCTTAAATAACTTGAGACCGAAATAAGTTTATTATTTTAACCCAGATATTGACGACGAACTCTTCAAAATTCACTCAGTAGCTCTCCCTTGGCTGTTTCTACCGACCTTCAGCTTTTATGTTACAAACTTGGTCCAGTCCGGATGAGGCTGCTGCCTGGGAAGATCGACCTCAGCCAGAAAAACAAACCCTTCATAAATATCATGCTTTTGCTTCCCGGTCTAGATTCACCGCGACCCTGCTACGGTAGTGGTTACATGACTACGGCAGGCGCCAAGTTCAGCTTTGCTTTATGTCGAGGTTATTTGGGTGGTATTTCCAGCAGCCAGACAGTGTAAGGTAGTGAGGCCAGGAGCTGTGGCAGTTCTTTGCAACCACGGAGACAGAAGCCAACAGAAGGAATGTGTGAGAAGGAGCCTGTACAGAGCCTCGGTCCTTGCTCATAATATTGAGTCACCAAACTAATCCTGGGACCAGAGTCTCACATGTGCTTGTCAGGTAACTGTAAATGTCTTTAGGCTTGAGCATAGCTCATCATGTGTTTGGTTACGTGCAGCCAGGGACCTCCTGATAGAAATAACTGGCGTGGCTCCACTGACACCTGTCAACCCCCCCCCCCCCCCGTTTGCACACCGCCCCTCTCATGCTTTAGCCATAGCAGTCCCGTGTCACGATTTTTCAGGATCTTCTCTTTGCTCTTACTGTTTCTCCCAGGCTGGAGTGCCCCCACCTCCACCCCTGGAAGGCTCCAAGCCAATGCCATTTCTTCTAGGAGGGTTTGCATACCTTCCCAACACACACACGCACACACGCACATACACACACACACACTCACCTTCCTCTACCGAATATTTATTGGAAATACTCACCTGACTGGGCTGCTGCTGAATACCCCAACAAGGACCCGAGTCCACTGAGTGCTGACTTTGTGCCAGGCACCAGGACAAATACTTTGCTTTCGCATTGTCCTTTTTAATCCCCACGACAAGTTTACACATTCATTACTCTTATGGCCTTCCTTTTCACCAAGGATACAATGAAGTTTAAAGAGGCTTAGTCCATTTCTCAAGGTCACACAGACAGCTGGTTAGCAGAGCTATAAAAATTCCAGCCTCAGTCTGACTCCAGACTGCAACTCACAGAGTACATCCCACAGGCGAGCGTGGGGGGCACCGAAGGCGAATGACTTGCACTGCTGTTGCATGTCAGGAGAGGGGCCTTGTGTGAGTCCATTACCTTCTCCTGTCTGCTGGCGTGTGCCTGGCACGGAAAGCCCCACGGTAAGTGTGCCGCTGGCCAGAAGGGAGTCCTTTTCCGAGTGCCCACACTCCCCCTGCTCGCCCCAAGCTGTCCCAGGCTCTAGCCGTGCCTTACCTCCTCCATCAACGCACCCCCTGTACCAGCCCTTCGCCGGCCCTGTCAGGGTTGTGTTAATTCTCGCTAAGGGGTTAGCCACTGACGATGGCTTATGGCTCCTTCTCCAGTGTGTATCTTTTAATACAGGACTTCTGGAGAAAGTGCTGCCGAAACCCAAGGAGCGCCTCTCATGGTGACACTTCACGATCGGATTCTTGAAGGTAAACTGTGCTGAATATACATTCGAAAAGCCCTTTTTGAACAAATTACATTGAGCTGGTGGTGATGGCGGTGAAGTTGTTCTAGTGGAGAAGTGATGAGAACAAAGCAGTCTTTGGACCGATTCCTCGCTGGGAGTGTCCAGGCACTTGACTGCCCAAGCTCCCTGGCCACGCGCAGTCAGATTCACAAAGGCCACTGCCTCCTCGCCAAACTATCAGTGCATGTTCCGGTTTACATACTAACTCCTATATTTTCATCGAAGTCCGTATTCATTAAACAAAAATTAAATTACATGTGGCTCTGTATCGCAACAATGATAAGCAACAAAATTTGTCCATGCTAAATATTCTGTTGAATTAGAAATATAGGACTCCATTTTAAACTTGCTCTAGAAAGTATAGGACTTTTGATGGATGCTTATTAAAATGTAGGCTCCACTCCAGACCTAGAGGCCCCGAAAGTTACTTCTGAAGGAAGAGGGAATACTGAGCTGGGTAAGTGGTCCAGCTGCTCTTCAGGAAGGGTTTGTCCTTGGACTCTGGGGTAACCCATAGCATGAGAGGATGCCCCAAAACATTCCATTCTCTTTCCCTACCTGCCCTTCTGCCAAGAAACATTATGCCAGGCACTGCTCCAGGCTGAGAAAACAAGATAAGCAATGGTTCTCACTGAAGTGCCAAAGACAATAAAAAATTACACACAGTGGATTAAGTGCTAAAATGGAGGCATTGCAGGATACTATACCCTTAGAGAGGAGGAAACACCTTGCTCAAGTATTTAAGGCAAATTTGACATTGCAAAGGAGAGGTCATTCCACAGAGACGATGTATAAATAAAGACCCAGAGGGTTAAGGAAACCTGGCGGTTGCTGAGCATTGTTCAATGTCTGGCCTGGCTGAAGTTCAGGGTCACATTGGGGGCGTGGACGCAGATGAGACTGACTCCGGTAAGATCATGAACTCCCTTGCACACCACCTCAAAGAGGTTGGACTTAGTCCCATAGACAATGTGGAGTTATTGGGAAGAAGCCTAGATATTCCCAGCATTTGGAATAAAATGATTTCAAAGTATAACTTGACAAGAACGCCATAGGATTGGAGTTTAATCAACTCTGTTCTCAGCTGATATTCTATAATCATCATTTTCGAGCTGTGTTAATCCAATGGAGACTCCTCTTTGCTGATATTAGGAAGCTCAATGGGCAAAATAGATAAAGGGGCTGCTTTGGTTGATGCAGAAACTCAACCCTTTCTGCAAACACGTGGTTCTAGAGAACAATTTGTGGATCTAAGTTCTACGTTCCCAAAAGACTTCATAATTGAAGGATAACTTTGATATTATCTTTGAAGGGAGCCCTTCTACAGTCTAGGTTAGCTCTTTCTATGCAGCACACTCAGGCCGTGCTGGTCAAGCCGAGTCCACCGAATGGGAGGGTTGCATTCGCATAATGGGAAGCACCCACAAAATGGGGGCATCCACGGAATGGGGGGCATCCACGGAATGGGAGGCACCCACGGAATGGGAGGCATCCACGGAATGGGAGGCATCCACGGAATGGGAAGCATCCACGGAATGGGAGGCATCCACGGAATGGGAGGCATCCACGGAATGGGAAGCATCCATGGAATGGGAGGCATCCACGGAATGGGAGGCATCCACGGAATGGGAGGCATCCACGGAATGGGAAGCATCCACGGAATGGGAGGCATCCACGGAATGGGAGGCATCCACGGAATGGGAGGCATCCACATTCCCCTGCAGTTAAACAGGCTTGTTCACTAGCAGCTTCCACTTTATGATAAGTAGGGATCTCTCTGATTTAAGCAAGATCCTTTGGAATAACCAACTCAGTATTACAGCTATCACGTGTCCTTCTGTTCACCTTTTAGGCGTCTTCAGTCTCTCCTTGAAACAGACCCTCTCCCCTGCTGTTTCCATTCTACCATATGCATTCCAGTGGTCTGCGTAGCCTCTTGACAATGGGATCGCCAGAAAGAGGTACATTTCTTTTGCTACTTCTTGCCTCCCATTACAATGGATGCATTTTTAAATAAATGGATTTATCATGAAAGGGCCTCGTCAGGGCTTTTCTGGTGAGCACTGCCTTAAAATATAGATGAAAAAATGCCTATGAAATCAAGTAAAAATAGATTTAAAAAGCAGCTCAGTGTTAAGCCTGACACTGACTCATGGTTTGATGGAACGATGACATTTTACATCATAATGAAAACTGATACGCTGTCAAGATTGCCAGACTTTTTTCCCTGTGTGTGTGGAAAAATAAGAACCTAGAACAGTGAGAGGAATAGGGCAGAGAATCAGTGTTTGTGGAGAGAATAAAGCAGAAAGCCACATACTAAGGGGAAAAGGGACTATCTTGTCCGAGGACCTCAGATTTGTCTGACTCGAGGAGCTTCCAGTCTTGAAACGCAGGCACCCCGGCCAGGCAAGTACAGGGGTCTCTTCTTAACTGAGTTTGACAAGAGGGATCCAGTGAGTAGGAGACATAAAGTAGTCAAGGAAAAGTATGAGACATTTAAGCAAGACCATTCCCACTGGCCCTCCTATGGTGCTGAATTCATGCAGGGGCCTTGGTTTGAGAGGGGCAGAGAAACGGACGTGTGCTAAAATGTATTCTCTCACATGGATGTGGCGGGGGGCAGGGGGAGGCAAAGAAACGTTTCAGGACCAGATCCTGCTGGGGCTTTGGCCCCGACACTCTGGCCCAGGCCAGGCCACTGCCCGTGCAGAGATGCTCCTCCCCTCTCTGCTCTGCTCCCTCCATCACAGCAGTTTAGTCTCTGAAGATTTTTCTTCAAAAAATCTTTTAAAAGGATGTCAGCAGAGATAAGAAAATTGCTGACTTGGGCCAGTGAAATTTAGCTCTTACTCCTTGAAAGCTAGACAAAAACTCAGCACTGAGTTTGGACCCCATGAGAGGTAAGGCACCTTGGGGGTGGGGGAGGCGGAAGACGGGAGGTGTTCCTGGGCGTGTGTGCGTGTGTGCGTCTAGCTGAAGATTCACTGGCACAAACAACTCAAGAATCCAATCATTTCTCCCAGAGTGAAGGAGACAGATCTAATAACTGATGATCTCGCAGTAGTACCCCTTTTAGAAAAATTACTTCACTTTTATATTGATTTCTTTGATAAAGTCATTATTGAAAAATACGCAGAATTATTTTCCTAACTAAGACCAAGAAAGACCAAGCAATACTCACATCAACTGATTATTTTAATGTCAAATGTTTATTTCTATACCATAGTCGCCTCAGCACAATTTGTAAAAGAAAGGAATCCAAAAAAATTAATTTCTTTTTGTCAGGATATTTTCTCTGCAGATATATGAAAGAAAATAAACACCTTAGTACCAGAATTACCATTCTAATTATATCATTCTAATAAATTGCATCTAAATATTTTCCTTGGACGTCATTTTGTTTTTTTAGGACAGAAAAATATCCACGGGGGGTGGGGAGGAGTTTGGATTCATTAAAATAAATTTGAGATAGTCTTTGTCAGACAATATATCTAGAACATCTTTGTTTTGGTACACTATATCACTAATTGTCATATTCTTATTATTTAATATAATAGGCATACTTTATTACATAAAACAAAGTGCACTGAAAATGAACAATGTTAGAAACAAACTGAAATCTGTTGTATCTTAAATCTTCCGGTGATTAGATATTAGCTGAAGCGCCGGTATACACATTCTCTATCAATACAAATGCAACTCTCTTCTGTGATGAAAATGCACTTAGTAGCTTAGTTCTTTTTGCTTTAGCAGATAGGGCATCCAATACAACTGAAACAACCTGATAACAAATTGTTTGGGTTTTTTTTGTGGGTTTCGGTTTTTTTTCCCCAATAAAAAGGAATGCTCTGGTTTCTTAACTGGCTCCCACACTTGAGGGAGCCAGAAGATGGCATTTGCTCTTCAAATATATTTCTCTTGTCTGGTTTGAGACACAAATCCACCAAGTTTCTTACAGCGGAAGCAGGCACCACACCTTAGATCACGAGGCCCCGGAGAAGCCTGTCAGAGTGGCTGCGAGCATGGGTGGGCCTGCACCTAGAAGACAGCATGGTGGTTGTGCACAGAAATCCCTTCAGCAGACTCAGTGAAAGGGTGAGAGTTCTTTAAGTTCATGCACATTTTATTGAGTAGTAATATAAAATGCTTTTTCTTTTTCATTGTTACAAGTGCATGCTTTGATTGCCAACATTTCAGAAGTCAAATGACAAAGGCAAGGCTTTAGGCTGTAGTGAATTACTTGGGCACTTATACAATTGTTAAAAAATATGAATGGACTTTTGTTGTTGTTTTCAGAATGAACCAGTTGTAACCCGTAACTGATATACAAAGGGAAAAAAGTGAAAAAAGTACATAGTTTGTGGCACATGACAGAACAGAACAAAATAACTAAACCATTATGACATTAACAGTTACCATGCATTTAGAGTTTCACATGTAACTACAAACTTATTTAAATTTCACAAGGTTGCTAAACATGCTAACCATCTATATGTGCACTGACAAGCTTATGTTAAAAACTTTTAAGAATACTCTCCCCTTTAGATTTTTCAAAGCTTTTTTGATTACAAAATTTCAAAGGCATTAAGCATTTTAGAGAATATAAAGTACGCCAGTATACATACATTTCCAGTATATGTCAGACCACTAAGCGCATTACAGTCCCATACAGGCCGATACAGCCATTTTTTTTTTCTTAAAAAACATGCATAGGCAGATTTTTTTTTTTTACAGAATATAGATGCTTTATCACTGTACTTAATATGGTGTCTTGTTCACTATACTTAAAAATGCACCACTCATAAATATTTAATTCAGCAAGCCACAACCAAGACTTGATTTATCAACAAAACCCCTAAATATAAACAGCAAAAAAAGATAGATGTAATTATTCCAGTTCTTTAAAACTTAAAGAAAAGAAATGAAAAGATATTCGTTGCAAAATTAATAAGATAAGTGTTATATTGAAAGAAGGGCATTCAAGCACACTAAAGAAACCTGAGGTAAGCTTAATCTGTACAAAATGAAACTGTCCTTTTTGGCATTTTAACAAATTTGCAACATTCTTTTTTTTTTTTTTTTTCTTTTTCTGTTTTTTTTTTTTAAGACTGCCTAATTCAGTTTATAGCCATTGTCTGACAAGAGTAGCAAAACATTATCAATAAATAGTCCTTATTTAGTTTGTACATCACTTTGTTAAAAATGTTTGATGTCATCCATTTTTAGTGCTGCAACTGTAAACGTACAATAGAGTAAGAAATTAGACAAAGTTTTCATGTCCAGTAACATAACAAAAGACCTTGCATTAACCCACGGAGGAGTCCCCAATGCAGGAGAAAAACAAGTTCATTCCCTAACATTGCAGTATATACTAGCATTGGCTTTCTTTTTAAATTTGCTTTTCCTATAAGCATTTTTAAAAGGTATACCCCAAAGAGGTGTTTAATCACCACCCTCACCAAAATATAGTTTATTATCTATCTCTCCCTCTTTTTTTTTTTTTTTTTTTTTAAATGATAGTGTAAACTGAATCCAATTCCTGGCCCCCACAGCAAATAAGCTACCTTCAGAGGCAAGAACATACAACTGCTGGTACGCAGCAATCCCCACCATGCCCTGCAGCTCAAAAAAGAAAAAAAAGAAGAAGAAGAAGAAGGGAAGAAAGAACAGAACAGAGTGAACAGGAAGTGGTCACTGGATATTGCTGCTGTTACTGCCATTGCTGTCCGTGCCGTTAGTCTCTGAGGCGAGAGCCTTGTTGATGGAGTTAAGGTTGGCGTCGGAGGGCATGGCATCTCTGCGTGGCGGCATCCTCTCGTTAATTCGGTCTAAGCCCTTGGCCTCCTCGAAGCTAGTGATCTTATGTTGTGGTGAGAATCCTTTGATAGCTAAACAGAAAATCATTAAGAGAAGAAACACCAGGTTAGCCAGGGGAAGACCACGGGCGCCGCCGCCGCGCCCGGCGATGTTCGAGGTGCGCAGGGCGAGAGGGAGTCAGTCCTTCAGTCGAGAACGGGTGACCTGGGCACGACACAGACTCCTTACCATACCCGGAGACAACCAAGGAGACAACAGCCACTGCCTCTCGCCAACCAAAATGTCCTCTTCAAACTTGTCTTCATGAAAGTTTAGAGCAACGAAATCCGAAGTGGACGGTAAAGGGCCCAGCTGCTACCAGGGCGGCCTCTGGAGCCAGCGCGGCATTGACTGGCCACATCATTAGCTGGGTCCTTGCACCGAACGCCTTGCCTTGGGCGGGAGCACAGCCCTACTCTGGCCCTGCGTTCTGCCAGCAACGGCAGATTCAGGGGCTCACCGAGGCGGGTATACCTAAAAATCTGATCAAGAGCTTAGAGCAGGCGCTAAAAGGACAAAAAAAAAAAAAGGAGTAACTTGGGGCACTTCCGTGCCATCTCAGAATCCCAGAAAGGCTTCCTTGACAAACAACTCAATCATGGCACAAAAACAATCAAATTAAAAACCCCCGCGTCTCTGCTCTACTTTGGGAGCGTGTGGAGAGGGCGACAAGGTGGGGGAAACGGCAGGATCAGCCGCTAAGGAGAAAACCTCCTCTGCCCTCCGGCAGCGAACAGGTCAAATTGATGTTCGTCTGGTATCCATTCCTGCTTAAATCAAACAAAAACTCTCTCCTGGTAGATCCAGGTAGACCTAAGTGATGGTTCAAGAGTAACAAGGAGAAAATGCCTTTCACAACTTTTAGCAAAAAAAAAGAATAGGGCTAGTTTGGGCTTTATTCAAAGAGAACATGAACTCTCAAAGGGGGAGCGTTGCTCTTTGATTTTTCTTTTTTCCCCCAGGAACCCTTAGTATGCTCCAGAGACAGATAAGGCATTTGTTCAAGAAAATGAAGGATTTCTTCAGTGGGTGCACCAACAAGCAAGCTGGAAGTAAAGTGCATAAATGGGGAACCAATGGCATCAGTTTGATTTACTCCCTGTAAAGTGCAAGCCAGATATTGAAGGGCCAGTCACCAATGCCGAACTGGGCTGCATCTCCATGGCCGATTAAGGACAATGTCACGGTACCTTTATCCTTCCCACCTTATTTGGGAAAAAAAGGAAAGCAGTTTCAAGCTGAAACTTCGCCAGCCACTCCTACACACATGTGCAGTGCCCTTGATTAGTATGGATGAGATTCTTAAAAGATACACACAGTTGCTTCTAAACTCATTAAGCGATGAGAAATAGCTTGTTCCCCCCTCTGCGTTTTAAAGGTTAGCATCATGGTGATTAGTCAACTATGAGAGGAAGAAGATGGGGAAATGGGGAAAGACCAAGGCCCAAAGCAAAGCTTCTTAATTCTTCTCTAATTTAGTAATAAATCGCAGAATAATAGAGCTGCCTAATGAGCACCCACCCTGAAGACTAACTCAATTATTTTGAGGGACAAAACAATTGCACAAAGTGGTACTCTATTCTTTTTCTAAACCACTATGAATACTGTTGCATCAGAATGAATACATATAAAAAGTTCGTCGTCATGATAATTTAAGAAGTGATTTTATATTAATTTCAGTGATAAAAGTGGAATCTCTGAATTTTACAGCCAATAGGATGGAAGCACAGAAATTCGAAATCTAGTTAGAACAATGGAGCTGGTTGGAATGGGGCTCTGTTTCTAATCATCGCTGTCTAACCTGGTTTGGAAGAATGTGCTCTGCTGTAGTTGCTGGTCAGACAATGGGTATTAGCAATTTACATTGGTAGTATACTTAACACAACACAGAGTCACAGAAACCACAGAAAACAGCCAAACTACCAACAAGAATGCACACTGCAGATTAGAATTTGCCAAGAGGAATAGAGAATTCCCACATAAATAGCAGTTTATTTACTGCTATTTAGGAAGCAGTTGTATTTTCTCTTACAGTTGTTATCATTTCCCCTACCATATCCAAATCATGTACAGATTAAAGGGTCTAAAGTGGCACTTTTCAACATTGTAGCAAAGGACCATATGCACACAATTGGGGGAAAAACAAAGAGTGATCTTGCAAGAGCAAAATACAACTGAAGAATTTTGTTTTAAAGGGGAACTTCAAATTATTCTTTTTGCAATTTCCAGAGGGTACGGTGTGTACTATATTAAAAACTATTTTGATAGGCAGTTCTCTTACAACTATATATTTAAAAAGCACTCAATTCAAAAGTAGTTGCTAAAGGGTCAACTGTACTGTCCCTGAGCAGTGACAGGACACTGTCGGTGACAGACGTTTCTTGATTTCCCCCAAAGCACCTGGTGGAGTGCCTGGTGCAAAGCAGACACTCAATAAACATTAATCAATTGAGTGATTACTCAACAGTCACTGTGCTAGTTACCGGCCACCTCCTCAGCCATTTTTCTGGTGCTAACTGTACTACAAACACCAGTAGGCTAAAAATTTGATAAAAGTAGCAGAACTGTTTATCTCAGACACAGCTGCCTCGTGTCGGAATATTGTTTAGAGACATAAATTAATGTTGAACTACAACAAAGCACTATTCAAATGAACATTTATTTTTCTTGCTAGAAACTTCCAAAGACTAGGATTCATAAAGCTATTTTTATTCTCTCCTTTTCAGTGCTGACTGCAAGTGATTTGCGGGAGGGACATGGTTCAGCTCAAAGAATATTGTTTTGTGCATTATTTGTCAAAATAGCTGCCATAACCCCCACCCCACATCGGTCAAGATATATAATCCTTTTGTTTTCTGTGATTATCCTAGGTTCACTGTATACAAAGTCAAACATAGCTTTAAGGAAAAAAAAAACAAAAAAACAAACAAACCATAAAAGGACATTTTCCCCTTTAAAGCAAGAACATTTTGGTTAATACTGAGCCACAACTGTTAGCCCAACACCCACACACTCTGTACAAGCTACAGCAAAAAAAAAAAAAAAAAGAGAATACACCCAGCAGAGCCCTTATCTGTTGCAGGTGCAACAGAAAGGGGACTGGCCAATTTACCTTCATCAGCCTCAATAGCCTCAACAGTAGCTGAAGAGAAGAAAGGAGTGCAAAATGAATGAGAAAAATGAGCAGAGGATTTTTAACTCTAAGAACAAACCAGTGACGATCAAGGGAACTAAGAGAATTCATGTTCCTGTAAGTGCTGGATTCTGGCACAGACAACAAAACGGAAATGCTAAAAAGAGAGAAAAACACACAACAAAATGATAAGTTTAACTTAAGAAATGGATACACCTCCCTGAGTGGATGGCTTTGGTGTTTGTTTGCTAAATAAATGACAAAATGACCCTGTAGGAAAACACTCAGGAAAGTTTTCTTTTACGTAGAGTGAACCAATAAGGAACTGGGTCAATCTAAAATGTGCCCGTGACTCGCACAAATTTCAATAAAATCACTGCTATGCTTGGTGATTTACAATTTTAAAATACCGGAAAAAAAATGGCCGGATTTGAACCAGTGCCATAATGTCAATGGGGAAATTCACATTATTTATTATTATATGCCCCATTTCCTACTGCAAGAGAAAAGGGGAAGAATGGGGGTCAATTTAGAGGAAGAATACAATCAATGTGTCTTGAGTTGAAAATGAATGTAATTCTATAAAGACCAATACCCAGCATGACTAGAGCGGGCAGGGGAAAAGAGAAAAGGCAGGCAATGAAGCAGTTTGGACATCTTTTGCCAGGCAATCCAATTTAAAATCAGTTTTTCTTATTGGAATATCATTTCTGGGAAGGAAATTCTTGAAAAGTTACAGTCCAGTAGTCATATGCCAATAGCAGCAATAATTCTATCACATGTTAGAGAAAAGGCAGCCTGCATACTGCCACAGCAGCGTATTTCAGAGGCAAAACTTTACAAGTCCACTGCTTCATCAGCAATTTTATAATCAGGTTAGGGTCTATATTCCCACTGTACAGGTGCACGAAACCTTCTGTTACTAAGGATAGTTGGTATTTCCCTAATGAAGTGCTAAAATGCAGAACTTCTCTACGTTTACTTCCAAAATGTGTCTATTAAAATTCTACCCCCTGACTTTAATATGCATATTTCTTATAATTTAAGGTTTTAAATCTAGGGCAACTGCCAAATGTGCACCACAGTTTATTTACAGCACACTCTAAATTCCTCCACGGACAAGAAGGAATGACGCTTTAAGTGGTTTCTCCTTCTAGACAACTGAAGGGCATCAGACAATGGATTCTGAAATTGTATTAATGTCTGTGGTTCAAGATATACACTGAATTTTCAAATTCTGAGGAATAATGAGGTTCTAATCCTATGTCCATTGTGTGTGTGTGTGTGTGTGTGTGTGTGTGTTCAACACAGAATAACACAATGGGTTTAAAATAAAATTAACAGAAAAGGAAACTAAATAGTCTAAGTTAAAATACCAGTGACAATCTGGAAGGAAAATAAAGAATTGCAAGAACTTAAAAAACTTAAGTTTAAAAGTAAAACAAAATATATGAAAACACACCAGCACCAACATATTAGAAATATGTACTGCCCATTATTAAATGTATCCTTCTAAAGCAAATGTGGTCATAGTTTCTGATAATACACTTGCAGTACTTTAAAATGTGCTTATCAAAAACTATGCAGATTTCAGTCCATTAGTAGCTGTGTACATATGTGGTCCATTTATCCTAATGTTGTAGAGAGCACGTTTACTATGGTGGGAAAATTCTGTTTTTTAAAGTTATTAAAGTAATTTTTAGCTATAAAGGGGGAATTGACTTAAAAGCTATATATTTAGGCATTTCCTCTTTTGTGGAAACTCAAATGTATTGATTTTGGAATAGATTCGTATGAAAATAAAGCAAACTGGAGTGATACAGCAGGGATGTGATCCTTTAGCAGCACTGCAGACATGAAGTTGAACAATATTCTCCACGCCGCACAGGTGTGTCTAAACGATGTAAACCATTAGAACACCTGAATCTTCTAGATCGCGGTATAGCATAGCGATAGGGAAAAAAAAAACACAAAAAAGATTCAGGGAAAGATACAGGAAGATAAGCAAGAGGCTGAGATCGTTTTGAAAACGTTACAGTGTGTTTTTGTTTTCATTTTTTCCTGTTAAAGTCTAATCCAATAGCAACATTTCTATAAAGTATTGTTAAAACTAGACTCTCATTAATGATAATGTTAGTTAAGAGATAATAAAACAAAAGTAACAAAAAGTATAGCACCATAGTATCTAATAGGGAAGCCACTAGCCACATGGGACTGTTAAAATCAAATTAATAAAAATTAGGTAAAATAAAACACTCAGTTTCTCAGTTGTACTAGCTCTTTCAAGTGCTCCGTGGCCATATGTTGCCAGTACAGATACAGAAATTTCCGTCATCACAAAAAGTTTTGTTGGAAGCACTGGTCCAGACAGCTACATATTTCAATACAAAATCTCTGGCTTAAATAAAATGTTTTCATTCTTTTTCAGAAATAAAACATGGTTAGATTCAGTCTGTTTTGATGGGTATACATCAAAGAAAAGACGTATATATCTCCCAATTTCTTCTCAAGTGGATAATAAAATCATCCTTTTTATAGTCATCCTACATTTTCCCACTGAACTATAAACTTAGGGATGCATATTTGTGTGTTTGTGTGTCTCTCATCCAGCAAAGAGATCATCAGAACATTTCGTAAAAACGTAATTAAAAGTTTGTTTTTAGCAACTCATTGACTGGAAGGGGTAAAACCTACTGAGCATGTGGGTGCCCTCAGTGAGCTGTGCTGTGGAGGCCTGCACTGTGCTCTGGGAATGCGGGGTGGGGTCGAGACTCCATCCCCGAGAAAGAGGGCGCTGCTGTGTTGGACATCACTGTTCAAGCAGATGGATGCGGGGTTTCGGTCCTTCTCTGAGCTGACACGAGGACAGAACTTGAACGGAGGAAGAACTCAGGGCTCTGACACAGCTGACTGAGTGCTCTGGGCAGAGTCCTAGCAACGGGCTGCTTACCGCTTTGCAGCGTCTGCTTCCCTCCAGAGAGCACCCCGCTGGGGAGCATGCCGGTGGGCGTCAGGCCTTTCAGGGTCAGCACACTCTCGCTCTCTTCTCTGGAAAGGCACAATGTGGGGACAGGGCATTAACTTTTATTTTCTTTTAAGAAAAAGAAAAACAACGTAAAAGAGAAAATGCATGTAATGACTCACGTTCACATCTATCCTGGCTGTGTAGGTTTTTTAAACTTAAAACATATATTTTTTCATACATTCATCATTGAAGTCATGTTATGTAAATGGCAGAAATGACCAAGTTGGCAATTATGCCACTGTGACGGTTCAGTCCCTTCGGAGTACTGAAGACACAGAGAACAGTTCTGATCTAGTGAGCGGGCATCACAGTACAAAGTGTTCGCTGGTCGTCCTCGGTGGTACCATACACAGGCTGGAAATGAGCCAGGGGGAGAGCTGCTAGCACTTTCCCAGCCAAGGCTCAGTAAAAATAAGTGAGGCTAATTTGAGTGGGGAGAGAAAATCAAGACAGCATATGGGAAATGAAAAATAAAACCCATCTCTGAACTAGGACGCTAGGCGTTACACACAGAGGGTTGAGGGATTTTCACATTTCGTGATAAACATGCAGCGTAATGGCAGCTAGCTAATGACGCGACTGGTGAAACTCCCCAGCTTCCTTTCCGGCAGCCTCTCCCCCCACTGCTCTGCTAATACAAAATCGTTTTCTTACTCATTATGACAAATGTTTCACAATCAGTTTAATGCATATCATTATTTCAATTATATTTATTAATCATAGCACAGCATTAATCATAATGATTAAATAACCATTAAACAGGAATAAGTGCCTATCTTTGAATGTAGCAGACACTGTAATCCTATGTAACCAAAAAAGTTCACGTTTTTTATATATCTTATGTTTATAATATGTGCAACTACCTACTTCGCATTTTTATGATGTACAACATGACCCAAACAGACCCTCCTTCAGGTAAGCTTAAAGACTTTCCCTTTAATTCCCTTTACTTCTGTCTCTCAGGCCACATCCACTCAACCAGCAAATCTGAAGGCTCTACCCTAAAATATTTCCAGTATCTTACCACTTCTCACAATACTACTCCCGCATCTCTTTTTAAAATGGCTTCACTGAGATATAATTAACATATCACACAACTGGCTCATTTAAAATGTACAATTCACTCAATGATGTTCGTATATTCATAGCTCTGAAACCATCACCACAGCCAATTTTAGAACATTTTTGTCACTCCAAAAAGAAGTGTCCATCAGAGGTCACTTGCATTTCTTTCAGCCCTGTGTAAGCACTGAGCTACTCTCTGTAGGTTTGCATCTTCGGGTTTCATACAATGGAGCCACACAACACTTGACCTTCCGCAGCTGACCTCTGCAGCTCACCACCAACAGCTCTTACCTGGGTCATTCTGGCAGCCCCTTCGCTAGTCCCCTGGCACCATCCTTGTCATGCTCTTGTGCCCCTCCCCACCCCATACTATTCTCAGTGTAGCAGCCACCGAGCCACTTAATACCCATGCGGATGCTGTCTTTGAAAGGTTTGACCAGAACCCTGAACAACTAGCCCCTGACCCACACTCTCCCATCCTCATCTGCCTCTGGACTGGATTTCCTACCAGTGTCCACTTCCCTTGTGTCCCTCAGGGACGCCCAGCACCCCCACCTCAGGGCTGTGCTTGTCTCGTCACACTCTCCCCGAACGTCGGCACGCTGCCCCGCCTGCCTTCACCGCTGCTCACGCACTGGCTTCTAGGAGGACTTCCTTGAGAATACGTTTAAAGACAACATGCACCTACTAAATTCCCTCTTTTTCCTTGCCTATTTTATTTTAATCTGAAACACTACACAGTTCATTTGTTTCCTTGTTTTCTGTTTGTTGTTTTCTCCACGGCCCACTACTTCCCACCCTGGCTAGAGAAGCTTCCTTCATGTGAACAGGGGTTCTGTCTGCTCTGCTCGCTGCTGTGTCCGCAGTGGCACCTGGTGCGTAGCCGGCATTCAAAACACGTTTCCTCATGGAGTGAGTCGAAGGCAAATAGAATGGAGAACGGCAGTATCCATCTCCATTTTCTATTTCTGTATCTTTCCCTTAAAATATTAGGTTTGAGATGGTCAATTAATCATCACTTACTTTCAGGCAGTATGTCAACCCTTTCACGCTTCTGCTGTCAAACCACTAGAGGTTACGGGAAAAATGTTTTGAATACCAATAGATGGATTTGGAAAAATTGAGAGTATCTCTGAAGAAATGAACGTTATTTTCTCCTTTGCATTCATTTTTACAATCAGGTTTCCTTATCTCCTTTCCCTTTTTCGCTCAACTACTTTTCTCCTCTCCCTATAGTCTTTCTGTTTTTTTTGTTTTTTTTTAATGAAGAATAGTTGACATAAGTATTACAATAGTTTCATATGTACAACATAATGATTGGACATTTACATCTTAGGAAAGATCACCACAATACGTCCAGTAATTATGTGTCGCCATGCAAAGTTGTTACAATACTGCTGCCTCTGTTCCCTAAACTGTAGATTACATTCCCATGATTTACTTATTCTACAACTGGAAGGTTGTTCCTCTTATTCCCCTGCACCCATTTCGCCCGCCCCCAAGCCCCTCATCTCTCTATATTCTGACAGCCACACAAAACGTTTTCTAGCTGCTGGTTTTCCTGTATCTCGGCTTCAGACACCTCCACTGAGTTCTCCATCACACAAGCATCTCTGTGGTATTTCCACTGATACCCAGGTTTCCTTCTTGAAAGACTCTGTGCTCAGGCTGCATCACTTTCTTTCTGGGCTCTTCTCCTGCTCTGGAGTCTCATTCTCAGTCCCTGGCTGATCATTTCCTGTGTCCAGACCTGAGCTTTCTAATACGGTAGCCCCAGCTGTGGGTGGCTCTTCCCCACCTGAAACACAACTTGGGATGTGCCGCACCCGCAGCACTCGGACCCAACTGCAAAGCCTTCATATAAAAATATGAATGTAGCACTGGCCGGCTTGGCTCAGTGGTTAGAGCGTCAGCCCACGGACCGGAGAGACCCAGGTTCGGTTCCCGTTAAGGGCATGTACTTCGGTTGCAGTTTGTCCCTGGCCCTGGTTGGGGTCATGTGGGTGGCAGCCACTCGATGTGTCCCTCTCACATCGATGTTTTTCTCTCTCTCTCTCTTCCTCCCTCTCTCCCTCCTGCTCTATCTGCAGACACATGCAAAAATGTCCTCGGGTGAGGATAAAAAAGAAAAGAAAAATAAGAATGTAAAATACCTTTAACAGGATTTACATTGACTACATGTTGAAGCAACAACATTCTGAATATATTAAACAGAATGTATTGCTAAAATGAATTTCACTTGTTTCTTCCTACTTTTTTTTTTTAACTGTGGCTTCTAGAAAATCAAAAATCACAGATGTGACTCACTTTGCATTTCCATCGCAAAGCGCTGTTCTGGAGGATGCTTGTCTTTTCCTCCGGCCTTCGCTCTCTCCCGGGGCGGACCCCTCACGTCCGCTGCTGCAGCTCTGTGCTCATGCCCACGGCTGCATTTACCACCCTCACCTCTCTCTGCAGCTCCAGGCAGAACTTCTAACCACCTCCACATGAATACTCCTCCAGCATCCCAGAGGAAACCGTGCCAACTTCCACTGATCAGAGTTCTCCCCACAAAACCTGTTAGGCATTTAAATGGAGGCGTACTTCCTCTTCCTTAGATAACAGCATTATCATCCTATCAATCCCATGGGCTAGAACCTCTGTGGAATAGTCTGAGAAGATGCCCTCTCCCTCCTCACCCCCTTGCATAAGTTAGGGTTCTTAAAGCAAACAACAGAACCTACTCTGGCTAATTTAGACAGTACAGAGATGTATTGAGATATCCGAGATCACACAGATCCACAGAGCCAGACTGGAATGTTCGGTAGTCGGGAAAAGAACCAGTGCTCATCCCCGCCGTGGGACCTTCTCTGCGAACGTGCTGCCAGTACTGTTTAGAGCCAACACCCAGCTCATGCCAGTGCTGTGTGGTTAGCCCCCAAAGGCTGAGAGAGAATCTCTTCTGCTGGCCCCGCAGATCCCACAGCTGACAGAGGGATCACCTTCCCCCGCTGGCTGCTTCCTCAGGAGGCTCATTTCCAAACAGAAGTATGTGCGTGCATCCGACTGGTGCATCCCACACAACATGCCTGCACCTCACCTGCAAGGGCCGCTGCAAGAGGCCCCTGGTTCGCCATAGTGCTGCGGACTGGCAAAGTGTAAGGAATGTGTTGGACAGCTATACCTGACACCCTTGTACCGCCGCCATCCACATTCATTCATTACATTTGTAATCTGCTAGCTGCACAAATTCCTCATATTAGTCCCTTCCTTTGTATATTTCCTCCTAAAGCCTAGTTTGTTTGGATTGTTTCAAGTGCTTCCTAAATGTTCTCCCTGACACCAATAAGTCATCTTGCTAGCCAATCTCCACACTGTCATTAACATATAATATCTAAACATAGGTTACAGCATATCAGTCATCCCATGAAAACCAATCCATAAGTCATTTTCCTACCCACAAAGAATTAAATACATTTTCACAGCCTTCAGACCGTCAAGGATCGGGACTTCAATTCATTTTCGGCCTTATTATTATTATTATTATTTTTTTTTTTACTAGATTTCTCCCTCACCAGCATGTCTTATCTACTATTCTTCTCTTTTAAATACTCAGAATTAGTTGACTACATAGTTCACTTTCAAATCAGTCTCTCATTAGTGCTGCTCCCTAATTGAGTTTGGACACATTCCTTAGCCTCAGCTTCCGTTTCCCCACTGAGGTCAACCCAACCTTGCAAGTTTGCTGTGGAGATTCCTGTCGCGTGCATACACCGAGGGGCATGGTACCTGGCACTTTACCAGGACCTCACAAAACACTGCTCTTAGGATGGTGTGATGGTGTTCTTGACGGTTTCTCAGCTTCCAGGAATTCCTTCACCACAATTCTCTCCCCTTCACAGCTCCTCCAAGGTAACCTCTTCACGAACATCCCTTTCAGGAAATTCCTTGTGTTCTTCCACAGCAGAGCATCTCTCCGTGTACTGGCATGCATTCTGTTGTCTTTTATTTGTTTATTTTCTACACGTCTGGCATTGCACATTGGTATCCTTTTGCTTAACTCAGTATATGATACACATTTAATGCTCAATCTTTACTTACTAAGCTAACTTACTTTCTAAAAAATGTTTTTATTGATTTTTAGAGAGAAAGGAAGGGAGAGAGAGAGAGAGAAACATCCACTTGAAAGAGAAACACTGTTTGGCTGCCTCTTGCACGCCCCCTACCGGAGATCGAGCCTGCGATCTGGGCATGTGCCCCTGACTGGGAATTGAACAGGTGACCTCTTGGTGCACAGGATGAGGCTCAACTAACTGAGCCACACCAGCTAGGGCACTTAACTTATTTTTCTCTGGATATGATCCCTCTGTATTCTACAAATTTACTTAGATACTTTATAGACAAACTGTAAAATATACCTTGTTTTAATTTTTATCAATACGCAAATCTTAGTCAAGTCACTGATCATCACTGGATTCAAATGGACCATTTCTCAGCTGGGAATAATTACCTATAGACACGGGACTGGAGGGACTTCCCAGTTTTAAGACCTACCTGTGATTTATAGCATTGCTCCCAATACCTTTATGTGGTTTGAAGACTAACATAAACAAAAATAATTTTTTTATATTTAAAAAGGCTTCTCCTTTTTCCCTAAATGTACTTTCACATGGAAACTCTGGAGCTGCTTTTCCTTCTCCTTGTAGAGATATCAGATAGGAAAAGAAAGGAAGCATTTACTGGTAAATCGGAGACAACAAATAAGCAAGTGTTTAAACAGAGGTATCAGCTGAGCCTATGATCTTTCTAGAGTCCTTTGCCCCATAGGCCTCCTTGCTGGTCCTCAAAGCCACAATCTTGTTTCTATCCAAGGATCTTCGCACTTGCTCCTCCCGTGCCCTCCAGGAAGGTCATCCCCACACTTGCTCAAATGCCATTACTCAGAGAGCTCTTTGTCGATCACATATGCAAATAAGCGCCTCATCTCCCACTTGCTATACCTTTAGAATGCTTTCCTTAATTTCCTCAGGGTACCCGATCGATGCTTTAAGTGTTATATTTATTACTGAACAAATGAATAAATGAATCCTAAAACCTCAGTTCGGGAATAAAGCCTCGGAGCACGGGCAGCCTGGTTTGTTACTGTAGGGAGCAATGCTGCCTTTATTTCCAGCTTTAACATGACTTTTCCGCTGGCTGGCTGCCCCAGGGCTCCTGCGGACGCCGATTCGGTGCCTTGGAGGAGGCGCGATAATACTTTTCGTCCTTCTCACGGCCCCCTGCTTGTGGCATCAAGTCATTTAGTCACTCTTCAGTGACTTCACCAGAGTGGGATAGAAATAGCAAGAGGAGAAATCAAAAGAGCCAGTGTGGCTACTGTAGGCAAAAGAGTTGAGGCAAAATTATGATATGAAATTATGCACTATGTACATGGCCTATTTCCCAAGATTCTCCTATTTACCCTTTTTAATGTGTGATTTTGAATTGACTATACACCCCTTACAATATAAACATGCCATATTTTAAATTAATTTTTAGAAGAGAAATGTAGTTATTTTGTATTATTTAACAATAGATAACTGAATTTAAGTAAAGAAAAATGTAGTTAATTCTTTTCAAGAAAATACTTGTTTTCCAAATTCAGGCTTACTCATAACATGATTGATGGTCTATTTAAAAAATAACTACTACATGGGAATTGAAATATTAAATAACTATTTTTTTTCTTTCAATGATTTATTAGAATAATATAGACTCACTTGAACAAGCTTTATGGTTGATGCTCATTTCCTACAAATCTAGTAAAACGCATGTAATAAAATCATCTTTTACCACAGAGCCAGAATGAAAAATAAAGAAGGTTGTAACAGCTTTCTTCTTTCACTACATGCTCAACTTTGTGAAATAAATGTTTTAAAAGTCCAGCAGCAAATACAGGGATACATTGTGAAACAGTCCATTCAGAGATTTTCTCTACAGAAATAATTTAGTGCCTTTCAATTAGACTAAAATAGTGAGAAAATGACAATTAATTCCATTCAAAAGAAAAACAATAATGATAGTAAAGCAACTATCTCCTAGCAAAATACCTAAATGACCAGATTGACATGCGTTTTAAGGGACACAATCAAATTGCAAACAGAAGCAGAGGAGATGAGAACTCACCTGAGGACGGAGAACACTCGGGCCATTTTGCCTATCGCTCGGATCTTGTTCCTTATCACCTCCTTCCGGGCTGCCGCTGTGGCTCCTGGGGTTTAAACAGAGTGCGGACAAGTCAGTGCCCTTCTTACTGAAATAATTTTACCCTTTTCACACAGAATAGACTGCAGTGAGCAAAGCCCCTCTAGGAGGATTTATCTGTAAATCAATGAAAAAACCTACGTGTCCGGCCTAAATACTTAGATGTGATTCTTGAGAGGTCACTGAAATGTAAAAGAGCAACTTCTGAGGTTTCCAAGGGGAGGTGGGTAAAGAGCTAACTGAACAATCACTGAGCAGACGGGGCAGCTTCCGACTCTTTTCTTCTCTAGTCCAGTTCCCTTCTCCTTGCTTTATACAAAGAGAGCGCGCATTGGCAGGACAAACAGAGGGAGCCACCAGGATCTTCTACTACATTAGGAAAATGCTTTATCGAAAGTTCTCCCTGCAGTGATCAAACTAGGGAGTCTCAACACATGCTCCCTGGAACATCATCTATATTGCTTAACGGCCATCGAACATTACGTTAGCAGCTGATACTTCTTCGTCTTCTCGTTGGTTCCCAAGCTCAAGAGGAAAAAGTGGAAAACTACTGAGTTGGATTTAGGGAGAGATGATGGCACATGGTTTGTATTTGAGTACTTATGTTAGTAAGTTACACGTAGGTAAGTTTTACCGCTTACTACATTTTCCAAATTAAAAAAAAATATCAATCTACATAGGTTATTGTTACTATAAACATCTTTTTTTTTATCATTGTTTTAAAATAGTACTATATGATCTTTAGTGAATCCATTTTGCTTTTTTCTTAAATTCCCAAGGCATGTTCAAAAAAGTGCAAGTCACAGAAACACACCTCTCTTCTTAAGATTTTTATAATCCAAGGTAAAAGGGACAAAACATCCTTTTTATACATTATATGGACTTTGTAGAAAGTGTTATCACAAGCCATTAACAGAACTGCAACAGAATATTCTTTTTAGATAATATCAGAAATGTTCCTAACCTGATGAACAGTTTTAAGTCATATAATTTATTCAAAGACTAAAGTCTATACATGGTAATTGGTGTAAACTTTGGTCTTTTAAGCTGTGATCAGAACAAGCTTTCTGACATTTTTAGAAGAAAAGATTTCTGCTGTTTCCCTTAGAGGGCTTTCAAGAATGTGGAGTCTTTTGCTCTGTGTGATAAGGGTCAACAACTAGTCACCACCCTAACATTTCTCACAGCAGCACACACACAGAATTCGGAAACGGCTGGAGGGAAGGCCTCTGTCCTTCTCACCCCAAAAAGTGAAAACAGAACGGAAGTGGGTTAATCTGTCCAGGCGATGCCAATGCCGACCCACTGCACGGGCTCGAGGGTGCCCCCGGGAGTGTCCCAGGGAGCCCCCGTCCTCTCTCACCTTCTCTCTGACCTGAAAGCCCTCAAACAGCCCACATTTTTGCTGGTTTCTGTCTCTTGTGGCAATTACAACACGGCGGTTATCTCCCGGCACAGCGGAGGGCAGGACTTACTACTACTGCCTGCAAATGAGTAGAGTAAATCCCTGTGAGAAAAGCCCTTCACCAAGCCAGTCCTTCTGACGATCCTGTGGAACCACGGACTCTCCTGCACTACTGGTTCCTAGAATCACACTCCGTCGGCCGGGACACTGGAAGGGAAAATGTGGTGGGTGTGGGATTCCCTGATTCCAACTTTATTCTGAGGTCTCAGAAATTTTTATCATTTGTTTTGTAATTAAGATCTTTTATACAATAAGTCTGTCCTGGAGATTATCTAAAAGCCTGAAGTTTCTGTTTGGATTTTAGGTAATTTATGATTAAGAGGCTACTAAGGCACATTTGTCAAGAAAAAAAACAAAACAAAACCTGGGATGGAAAGTAGTCTCCTTAAGGTGGTTTTCCTATATACATAATTGTCAGTTATTCGGTAAATGCTGCTTCCAGCCTAACTCTGAACTATGACTCACTGTATGGACACCGCCAGCCCGACTGGCCCAGCCCTCTCCAAGGTCACGGTGTGCCCGTGAGGGACACATTCAACCTCTGCCGCGGGCAGCAGAGCCGGATCGTAAAATCCGCCCAACAGACACAGACAGCGGAGAGTGTGGGAAAACCCCCAAATCATGACTCTATTAAGACGCACAACAAGAAAAGCAGCAAGGAGGGGTAGTTAAGTGTCTAGAAATGACTGCACATGTAAGAGAAATGAAGAGAAAAATAAAAAATGAAATATATAAATATATAAAACATGTATGGAGAATAACCTCCCATGAAAACGTTCAATAAAGTACTTGTAAAAACCATAACCGGAGAAACAAAAAGCAGGACGCTGAACGGGGAGGGGACAAATGCTACAGAACTGTTCTGAGCGCAGAATTGGCAGATGGTCGGAAAATTTAACGTCTTAAAATTTAGGATGTTAAATTTTACATGTAAAATAAACATTCTGACAGCCAGTTTACCGCCCCCCCCAATCAAATGACTTACTGGGGAGCACACAACAGACATTCCACTTTGTGTATTCACGGCTGTATCCCCAAAGTGCTGACTCAGCACAACGCAGTGCTATTCTCATGAAGAAACACGACCTCTTTTTAGATTTCTCAGTAACCCAGGTGAGAGAATGCATGTATGTTTACTCAAAAAGTCAAATAACCCAATCATAAATACTAAGAAAAGACATTAAAAACTGATGTCTCAAATATCCTGGGATTACCTTCAATATTTTCCAAATAATCAAAATCAGAATTAAACTAACACCACACACTTATAACCTCATAAACACTTAAAATGTTCAAATACAACATCTGAATTGATATGTAGTTGACCTTAAAGGAGCTGAACAAGGGAGGAGGGATTCAAGTTCAGATAGAAAAGTCCTTGTATATTTAGTACTGCCATTCCTGGTTTTGGTTCGTTTTCAGAGTTCATTAAAACTCTGAATGTAAGTGTTTTTTCAAATACTTATATTCCATTGCAAATCCTCACAGTCCATAATTCAATAGAAAGACCAAGGCAAACTGCATGTGTTTTAGACTTTTACTAGCTGCCACGTGCGAATGTAACGTCATGTTCACTGCTCTTGGTACTTGTTCCGTATCAGTTGTGAAAATACACTACAGCAGCTCAAATTAAAATTCAGTATATTAAATACTGAAGACACATAAAACACCTTTTACATGAAAAACTGGGGTAACTATTTTTTTATCCCAAAGAATTTCCACTTGAAATTCACAAACTAATAGGCAGCCTTTTATATGTTTAAAAAAATTAATAGTTTTTAAAAAATCCTCACCTGAGGATATGTTTATTGATTTTTAGAGACAGACAGAGAGAGAGAGAGAAGAGAGAGGGGGAGAGAGAGAGAGAGAGGGGGGGGGTGAGAGAGAAATATTGATCAGTTGCCTCCTATTCTGTATCCCGAACTGGTATCAAACCCACAACCTAGGTGTGTGCCCTGACCAGGAAACGAACCACATCTTTTTGGTGTACAGGATGATGCTTCAACCAACTAAGCCATCCAGCCGGGACAAAAAAATTAATTTTAAGTAAAATTTCATTTTGTGTTTCCATTCAAATAATTATCCCTTCTTTCCTTGGGCCACTGTCACTCTTTAAATTTTAAGTTCTAATATTCTTCTGTGCCTGGGGTATTATGGTACTATTTCTAGAATCTAGGCAACCCTGCACACTCAATTTTCCTCAGAAGGGAAGAGGCAAATCTTTAAAGGGAATCTTAACATGTGTTCTTCCTGACAGTAACTTACACCCTGCAGACTTCTCACGAAGTTGTAAAGGTTTCTGTGCCAAGTGGCCTGCTGAGCGAGGGCTACATCCCCGCGGGGGTCTCAGCCTCTGAAGGGAACTGGAGGAGGGGCCAGTGTGAGGGGTGAAGAGATTCTTTCCCCATGGACATGTGCACTGGAGAGGTGCTGGCTGTGTCCTCCGCTTAGTTCCCACCCCCTAAGCTGCTATACATTCCTCGGTGTTGACCGGATCAGGGGTGTGTGGAAAGTGCTACACAGAATACAATTTATGACCCAAATCATTCGTTCAAGTGTTCCTGTGACTCCTGTCCTGTGTTGCCTGCCATGTGCCAACTGCTACCAACTGAAGGCTGAAGAAAGTGCGCTCTGCTCCAGGAGAACCGTGAACAGTGACAAACATCAGAGACAGCAGCAGTGGGTGCTGGCAGCTAGGGAGAGCACACTGAGCGGCTCTCCTTGACCCATGCTCAGGAACTTCATTTCCGTAGCCTCTATCAGCTGCCAGGAAGAGACTCTGTGCCTTGGAGATGTGCAAATGCCACAAGCCAGGGCCATCCCCCTGACAAACAGGTTGTGAAGCATGGACTGGCACAGCACTGGCAGGAGGAGCTAACTGCTGGGCATGAGAGAGACATTCACTGAAGGAATGACAGCTCCAGGATCTTGAAGAGGCAAAAGAGGCGGCGGATCCTCAAACACGTAGGTGGAGGTGACCCATGTTATGTTCTGATGATGGGTGAGAAGTCTGGTGGGAGTGGAGTGGGGGACCCCGGGGTGAGGTCGGAGCGAGAAGAGAATCAGGGGTGCCTGGGGCTGGACTGTACAGGCTTCAGCACAGTCGTGCATGGACACAAGAGTTTAGACGTTAGCGCACACACAACAGAGAGAAACAGAACTTTCTTTGTCACTTACCCCCCAGAAAGAAAGAAAAAGTTAAAATGCTGGCTAGGTGGAGAGACAGACATGTGACAAAGCAAACAGAGTCAAGTGTTAATTGTAGAAAGTTAAGTGAGGGTACTGACTATAAAATTCTTTCAACACTCCTATAAGTTTGAAACATTTGGTAATAAAACATCAAAAAATAAAACTATACTTGGAAGAGCTTGGTTTTGAGGGGAAAGAGAGCGAGCAGTTTTGGATAGAGGTCTCTCTGTGCCTCCCATTCTTCGAGCTACATGGGGATGTACGAGCTTGCCGAAGGAGGCTGTGAAGACAAGTCCTCCGGGCCGTGACTTGCACCCAGACCTGCTGCAACCAGCAGCCCCGGGGGCCAATCG